AAATGGTCCAGTGTATCATCAGACATGTTGCCTCATCACTTAGCACCCCCTGTTAGCATTTTGTCTTTGGCCTGGTTCCCCAGGATTTCCAGTTGATCCAGGTGAAGCTTGGTCTCCTTCCGGAGTATTTCCCAGGATGTTCTGCTTTCACCCTGCAGGTAGAGTATCACAGTTAGTACTTCAGTCAGCGAGTACTCAGGTGAGTATTAAAGCAGTATTTGTACTTACTGTGCGGGACAGAGTGACTACCTTCAGATTTCTGAAGTATTTCTTCACTCCTCTTCTTGCTTGCTGATCAGGGTTGGAGATCTGAAAGAGAAAAYAAGAAGAAACCTTTAGGTTGTGTTTATGAAAGTGAAACAGCTGAAGTTTCAGATCATCAGTGAGATGTAAGACCTCCTCCCTGCTCCATGTTTAAGATCTGTTGTCCAACATGTCCCCTGTCCCTCCTGTCACTAACTCCTCCTCTAACCTCATCATCTGAGCAGGTCTCATTCTGTAATCCTCGCAGCCCTCCTGTCATAACCCCACCCCCACAACGCTTGTCTCCGCCCCCTCCAGGCTCTCTTCCCCTGCTCCCTACTCTCACTACAGACGCTGCTGGACCGGCGGATGGAAGGTGACGTRAACTTACGCAGTTATTGAGCTCCTGGATCTGCCTGTTGATGGTCTCCAGGAAGTCCTGGAACTTCACGGGGTCCCAGGAGGCCGAGGACACGTTGCTGTAGCGAAACAGATCGAAAATCTGCTTCATGCTGTCCCTGATGAAGATCAGCTGAGACTGCACCTGCAGGCAGAGAGCTGGTGTCAACAACATGTTCTGAAGGGTTGGTAAACAACAACAACATTATGAAGTAAACAAGTAAACAACATTATGGAGTATTTGTAAACAAGTCAGTTACATTATGGCGTGTTTGTATACAAGTAAACAACATTCTGAAGTGTTTATAAACAAGTAAATTACATTCTGAAATATTCTTAAACAAGTAAACTATATTTTGGGGTGTTTGTAAACAGTAAACAACAACATTCTGAAGCAGACTGCTTACCTCGCTTTCCCTCATGCTCGAGTACCGTTTGGAAGGAAAAGGTTCGTGACACTCCTCATGTGTGAACTCGCCTCCCTGAAACACAAAGAAACACAACTTCACTTTAACACACACGTCATCTACTGGGCCTACTGGACCTACTGGACCTACTGGACCTACTGGACCTAATGGACATACTGAACCTAATGGACGAAATTGACAAAATAGACCTACTGGACCTACTGGACCTACTGGGCCAAATGGACCTACTGAACCTACTGGACGAAATTGACAAAATAGACCTACTGGACCTACTGGGCCAAATAGACAACATAGACTGGACAAAATAGACCTACTGGACCAAATGGACCTACTGGACCAAATTGACCTACTGGACCAAAAAGACCTACTGGACCAAATGGACAAAATAGACCTACTGGACCTACTGGACCAAATGGACCTACTGGGCCAAATAGACAAAATAGACTGGACAAAATAGACCTACTGGACCAAATGGACCTACTGGACCAAATTGACCTACTGGACCAAAAAGACAAAATAGACTGGACCAAAAAGACCTACTGGACCTACTAGACCAAATAGACCTACTGGGCCAAACAGACAAAATAGACTGGACAAAATAGACCTACTGGACCAAATGGACCTACTGGACCAAACTGACCTACTGGACCAAAAAGACAAAATAGACTGGACCAAAAAGACCTACTGGACCTACTGGACCAAATAGACCTACTGGGCCAAATAGACCTACTGGGCCAAATAGACAAAATAGACTGGACAAAATAGACCTACTGGACCAAATGGACCTACTGGACCAAATCCACAAAATGGACCTACTGGACCTACTGGACCTAATGGTCCAAATGCTGGAACCCCATCACTCTGAGGTTTTTAAACTCATCTGATGAGTTTGAAAATAAAACCAATCCAAACTCAGGGAACATAAAAAGTCAGACTCTGTAAGTAAAAACTGGATCTCAGAGGTTCAGAATCGGGATCAGCTGAAGGACTGATCATCTGGGACCACCTGGAGCTGCAGGTGTGTGTGGTGGGAAGACATAAGCACTGAGCTCTGGACCAGGATCTGGACCCAGTTCTTGTCAGTATAAGGTTGGGGGGTACTAATAAACCAGCTGAGGACTGAAAACTTYAACGTCTCACCTCCACGTTTGTGACACTTCTTCTCATTTTTACTCAAAAGACAGAAATGTTCTGAGGACAGACGGATCTGCTGAGCTGGACTTCTTAAGAACTCTGAACTCTACTCACCATGACCTCGATGAGAACCCGGGAGGAGTTCCTCAGGTCGCTGTAGCGTGTGAACCAATCACAGCCCAGCGCTGAGCTGAGGACACTGCAGAGGATGAAGATGGAGCTGGTGGACCGGACCATGATGAGCAGCTTGTCTCTAACATTCTGCTGAGCTGACTGCAGACCATCATTTTATCCCTGAAAGTCTGAAAAGTGAAAAGGATAATGAAAAGAAATAAAAAAAGAGAGAGAATGCTGGGAAGGAAGGAAAAGTCCCTGAAACTTTCTATTTCCTTCTCACACCTGAGTTCTGCAGAGCARCGTGGTCCGAACAGAACCTCTGAGTTTACAGCAGACACACAGACAAAACGCTTCAAGAAGTCAAAGTTTGATTTTTTTAACTTTTTATTAAAATGTAAAAAATAGTGATAATCTGAAAACTTTATTTAGTCTGATCAGAAGTTTCTGAACAGTAATTAATAATAATAATAATAATAATAATACGATCAGACAGCAGATCTATCAGAATTCGATGGATCAGTGTTTTTAACTTCCTCTTTCTTTTTTCAAACGTCACAAAGGATTCTTACCTTCGCAATAAAAGCAGGCTTTGTTTTAAACAAAGTTTTACTAAAAAAAAACAACAAACAGTAAAAACACAGTCAATCAAACATAATTCTGACTCTGCAGAATAAATCCGAACTCTCTATGTTAGGTCAAATCTTCTGTCTGAATCAGGAAGGCTTTTATTTTGAAACACAGGGCTTGTTAACTGTATGGCAAGCCATTTTAGCATACAATCGGTTTCATCTCACTATCTGTACTTACATTCTAGATGTCTAAAAATGAGTTTTGACTAGGAATAACTACATTTTGACTATCTGGAATGTTAATTTAAGATATCTGTATTAACATTCTGACTAGTCATAATTCCAATTCAAGATACAGTATCTCTAATTTAGTTTTGACTAATCATTATTTGCTTTCAAGATATCTGTAACTGAATTTGAACTAGTCAAATTTTTATTTGTGTTATCTAAAAGTACTTTTA